AAAAACTTTTTAGTATGTATTTTAAAGGTAAAAATAAATTATAAAGCACATAGTTTTTGGTGCTATCAAACTTCACTGTAAAATAAATGGCAAAATCTGGCAAGTTCTCATTTCCGTAGCAATTTAAATCATATCTCAATTAACAAAATTGCTGCTACGCTATGCTTCGTACTTATCCACATACATAGTTTAATTCGCCCACGTTCGCTTCGCCAGTTTCATTTCTGCTCTGCTTTGCTCGTCCATCAATTTTACTCACAGACTCAAATTATTTTATATATACGAGCATATGCTAAAATATAATTATCAAATAATTTCTATGTATTTTATACAGGCTACAGACACCCAGGGTGAAAAAAAATCTTCCCTTATTTTTTAAAAAGATACAGAGGAAACCTATATTCATTAAATGGCAACATTGTCATTATGTTCATTGGGCCTAATAATCCATATAAAAATATTTAAAACAATATAAACAAGGTAAGTTTAAAAACTTAAGTTGGTCAGTAATGTATAGTCGGTGAACAGTTTTTGGGTTATAAAAATATTTTATTGAAAAAAAAACGAATAAATTCATTTTTATGTTTCTAACCTAAACAAAAGATCTTTTGTCTAAAAATGGAGGTACTAAGAATTTTATTCTGCTTAACAATTTATGAATGCAAAAATGACAATTACGGTAAATGTAGGAAACAATTGCATTTAAGTTTCATTGTGATGAAGATGCATTTTTAAATGTAGATTTCTCATTTATTGTTGTTAGCTATTGTAAAGTTAAGTTTAATGTATAAACCTAGGTGATTATTTTTACCCAACTAATTTTGATTTTGCTGACTTCCTTATTACACTGCGCGTCAAAATTAACGCATTATAAGTAAAAAAACTCTAAAACGCCTTTACCAATTTTTATAAAATTTTGGGTAAAAATGCTTTAACTTATATCTCAGTTTATGTGTTTAAGGGTTTTTCGAAAAAATATTCTTAAAGCCCTTTTATTTAATAATATAAAACGCTCGAAAAAAAACTTTTATATATAAAAGTTTTTTTTCGAGCGTTTTATATTAATAAATAAACGGGCTTCAAGGATATTTCCTATATATAGTTCCCTATAGGGAACTTTTTTTAAGTAAATAAAAAATTTGCTGTGAAATACAGTATTTTTGTAAGTATACCCCAAAAATATTGTACAAAAAAAACTTTTATATATAAAAGTTTTTTTTCGAGCGTTTTATATTATTAAATAAAAGGGCTTTAAGGATATTCCCTATAGGGAACTTTTTTTAAGTAAATAATAAATATGCTGTGAAATACAGTATTTTTGTAAGTATACCCTAAAAATATTGTACAAATCAAACGAACAGTAACGAAAATAGAGAGTCGTCAAAAATGACCTCTTTTCAGCAAAATATTCTAAAAGGGGTTATTTTTACCGACTTTAAAGCACTTTGTTACTGTTCGTTTGATTTGTACCAAATTTTTAGGGTATACTAACAAAAATAGGGTCTTTAACAGCATATTTTTTAATTTTCTTAAAAAAAATCCCCAAAACTTATTTTTCGAACGTTTTTTTTTATTATTAAATAATAAATAATATAAAAATATTTTCTCGAAAAACCTTTAAACACGTAAACTGAGATATAAGTTATTCTTATACAAAATTTTATAAAGATTGGTACGTTTTAGAGTTAGAATTTTTTTACTTATTATGCGTTAATTTTGACGCGCAGTGTATTACAGCTACTTTAAAGTACGTTAAATTATCAATGGCTTGCAACCCGACGTTCAATTGTTTTTCTGATTTTACCATTCTAATGAGAAGAAAAAAGGGTGAAAATAGAAAATCAATTAAACGTCGGGTTTTCAAATTATTCACAAAAATAATATTCTTTTAAATGAGACACCCTGTATATTTTAACATATTTTAAAAAACAATTTAAAAATTAATATTGCCCAACTACCCCAAACTTAAAAATGAACAATTAAACCATTAAAAAAATGATTATTTTTGTTCGTCATTTTAATAAAAAAAAAATTCCACCAATTTGACAATTTAACCGGTTTTGTGCTCCATTAATAACGTAGTTAAAATGGTAGCAATGGTGAGCAGATAACTTTTAATTAAAACCATTTTGTAGAATAATTAGTTTAATAAATTAATTAAAATAAATAATTGAATTAATTAAAAGCTATGTTTGCATTTTTAGCAAAGCTTTATCACATAAATACAAAATTTTGATAAGATTATAAATAAATTAAATTTTAAGCCCGTTTTGCCTCAATTAAATTTGAACACCTAAAACAGGCTGTTATGTAAACAAAATAAATATAAATATACAACGCAACCACAGCAACTTGAAGTTGACATAGTTGACATATGTGTTTTTTACAGTTTTTGTCACAAAAACCAAACTTTAATTCATAGAGCCTACAAAAGGAAAATTATTTTTAATAATAATAATAATAATAATAATAATAATAATAATAATAATAACCCTTATAACTAAGATATATTTAAAATGCAAATTTATCAAAAAAATAACAAAGGTGATGTAATATTTTACTTGGAATTATCAATTGTAATTGTTATTTTTTTTCTTTTTTTATAAATTTACATGCACTGTTATATAATATATACAAAACTAACCATTTTTAAGAGTGTACTAAAATAGGGTATTATATTAAAATGAAAATATACATGGTAATAAAATGCAAATTCAACAACTGATAAAAATAAAATTAAAAAAAAAAATATTCTTCGTTTAAAAATATTAATTTTACATTTCTGCAGAATCACGATTTACGAATTTTAATCATAATCGCAATTTTAAAATTCGCGAATGCTTGTACAGTTTCGCCAAGCATTTTAGTTTCACCCTGTATACTGCTGCCACCTATACAAATTTGCATACGTATGTATTTAGTTTTTGATAAATTGTTTAAAATTTTAAAATGTCCAAACGTTACAAATATGCTAAAAATACCAAAAATGTTTACAATGTTATGATTGTTAAAATCTATACACCCAAGTGCTTTGTGGTAAATTGAAGACGTTAAATTCATTATTGAACAAAAAATAACTTAAAATATGGTTAATACCAGTACCTAGTGCTTAACAAAACTTTAACCAAAGCGTGGTATTTAAATAAAATTTGTTTTTCTACACTTATAAAAATTAGATTTGTTAAGATGAGTTTGTAGTTTGTTAATTTTATTTTGTAAATTTTTTATATAATTTTTTGTAGAAAACCAGGGTTTGTAATTATTTTAACAAAGGATAATATTTTACCGAAAGTTTTGTAAATATAATGTGCAATTTTGTAAGCATTTTGTTAATTTCAAAGGTTAAAGATTATTTTGTTAATGTTTAACAATTTATTTCGTTGAAAAAGTAGGTAGTGGAAAATGTGCAAGAAAATGTGCAAGCAAGTAACAAAGAAAAATTTGGAGGAAAGTTTCAAAATGGTTTATGAAAATGGAGATACTAAACTGCGCACCACTCAATGTGTCGCGACCAAAAAGTTCGTTCTTTTTCAAAACGACATAACTTTTTTGTTTCTCGAACGATTTTATTTTGGTCTGTGATGTCTGCTAACCCCATCCTCTGGCAATTCATGCTATAGATATGAAGCTCACGGTTCTCCAAGTAAATTTCCTACAAGGTGATATGTTAAACGGTAAAAAATTTCAAAAACTTCATCCAAGCCCCGTTTGTAAAAAAAATAAATTTGTTCTCGTTTTTACTTTGAAATTTTTCGTATTGTAATCTTAGCAAAGAAAATATGATTTTTTACATTTAAGGCTTTTTGGTGGGCAATACACTCAGTCTTTTTAAGAACAAGAGGATAAGATGGTGAAACATTGTTCCTTAAATAATTCTGAACAAGCGACAAGCAACAAACTTTTCAGAGGGGCCTAAGCAAAGACCACTTATTAGTGATAAGTTATCATTAGTGCGCAATGTAAATGTAAGTTATGTAACATTATTCTAACCACTCAAACAAATTGCAATAATTTCGCCCGAAAATGAATGCCCAAATGGCATTTTAATCATAAATATGCAAGAAACACGCCAGCAATCTGATTTTATTAAGACATTTAACAGCCGGGAATTGTTTTCGAATTTTGATTCTTAGTGATTTTGGTTTTATTTTAACTTAAATTTGACAACTGAATCACAATCAGGAGGTCAAAATTATAAAAAAACATGTCACGAACGTAAATATCGGTTCAGGATTAGTTTTCGCAAATTTTCACCAAAATGTTATTTTGAAAAAGTGGCCTTTGCTTAGGCCCTCTGAAAATAATGGAAGTTTGTTGCTTGTCGCTTGTTCAGAATTATTTAAGGAATAATCTTTCACCATCTTATCTTTTTGTTCCTAAAAAGACTGAATGTATTGCCTACAAAAAAGCCTTAAATGTACTCTTTTGAAAAAAAAATCATATTTTCGTTGCTAAGATTCCAATTTGAATTTTTTTTTAAACGATTCAAGGTAAGACATAATACTTCATTATTTCAAAGTAAAAACGAGAAAAAAATTATTTTTCTACAAACGGGGCTTGGATAAAGTTATTGTGAAATTTTTCACCGTTTAACATATCACCCTGTAGAAAATTTACTTGAAGAACCTTAAGCTTCATATCTATATCATGAATTGCCAGAGGATAGGGCTAGGAGACATCACAGACCAAAATAAAATCGTTCGAGAAACAAAAAAGTTATGTCGTTTTGAAAAAGAACAAACTTTTTGGTCGCGACACATTGAGTGGTGCGCAGTTTATTTTGAATTTTATATTGTTATTTTCCAAATTTAACTTTTTTTTCAAATTTTTTGTACCTATTCTTGACCCTGATTTTAACAATTGTGTTTTACATGGTTTGCATAAATTTTTATTTATTTTCTCTTATACATTTTTTTACTTTGCTTTTAAAATACACCATCTTTAACTATAACCACTAAAAATAAGGATAATTGTTGTCTTAAAATGCTTGGAATATTTACCTGATCAAATCCAACAACGTATCCTGGGTGAGCACATGCCTGGTCATCACGTTACTCTGCTTGCCACTATACGATGTGCCATTCACACCCGGCCTAATCGTAATCACTAGAACAATACCGAGTATGACCGCACATACCGTCGTCGCCGAATAATACAAAATCGATCTGATCGCGATTTTTTTCGACAAACTCAGATCCAAGCCTCCGATGGCCGTGATCACCGACGATACCAGCAGGGGAATGATGAGGGCTTTGAGCATCCTGAGGAAAATCTCGCCGGGGAAGGCCAGGTACATGGTCTCCCTTTTCGTCCATTGTCCTCCGGTGGTGCTCCTCAAGAGAATACCCAGGGCCGTGCCGCCCAATACACCCACCACTGTGAGGATCGTCAGCAGGTTCTCACGTAAGAACGATTTCTTAGCCATTATGCCAATCTCTGGAAGTGCAAAAACAAAGTTTAGTTTCAGTCATGGTTAATAAAATCAGTAAAAAATGCATACATGCGTGCCCGTAAATGTAGATAAACATTCGCAAGTTGTATTTTTACATTATATTAATTTTAATATTCAGTCAGTTTAATGTTCAGTTTCAGAAAAAGCAAAGTACGGTGGTCAAAACTTAAGTATAGGACGAACAAAAATGCCAACCAAAACTGATAGCATATTTTGATTATAGACCCTTTTGGTAACACTAACATGTATTTATCAAAATCCCAGCTGATCCTATTTTAAAGTTTTGCAAACTTTTTTGTTTTTCTATTTCTATATATTATATTGCAATTATTGTACTAAAACTACCTGTACAATTTTAATAAAATTAAGCAAAATAATAAACTTTGTATCATTTAAATTACTTTACTCCCCAGTATTAATTTATTGAGTCACCTATTATCTTTTCCCACTCAAAACAAAACATAACAAAAAAACGAAGATTTATATCTTAAATATTTTTTATAACAAATAATACTGGAAGTTTGTCTATGAAATAATTACAACTTGCAAATTTTGTAAAACAATAATTAAGGTGGTTATGAAAAAAATTGCTATACGTTATAACGCAAGTGACATTTTGCTTTAGTTGTTTATTTAATGTATACTTTATAAAGTTAAAAATAGTACTTTAAAATGAAAATTAAACCGAAATTCAATTTAAGCCATGAAGAAAATCGAAAGAAGGTATGTGCTGGCTGTGGAGACAAAATTGTTTTTGGTAATCGAAAAATTCAGAGTTTAGGGTTTCTGAGAAAATATAAAAATTACTGCAGATTTTTTCAAACGAACACTTTAACTTATAAGTTAAACTAAGTTATAAGTTATAAGTTTAACTTATAAGTGATTCGAAATTACCTACTTCAATATGGTAAAAACGGTATTTTTGCATAGCCACAATTGCCAAATTTTCAAAATTTAGAAATTGCTAGAGAATTTCGCGGCAGCCAAGAATATATGTACTTTATCTGCAAAATGGCAAGATATAAAGGGCATAAAAAAATATTAAGGAAAGAGGACGGACGAACGAACTAAAGTTTTGATATGCTCTTCCTTTCTAGGGGATATCGCTAGATGTAAGAAGCATGTTTGTACAGAGACTGAAGAATTTAAAAATACTGTTTCCATGTTAAGAACAATTCCATGTAAAACCCAAGAAAAAGTTTTACTGAAAATTTAAGGCAAGCAGTAATCGATTTTGCTTCAAAGAATCTTTAGTTATTTATTAGTTTTGTATTAGGTAGGTACCTTAAAACAATAAATAAGATATTGCAAACTGTATTTTACATTATTTTGTATTTATAATGTAATTTATTTAATGGTACTAGAGTATTTTATCGAAATGGCAAAAACAATTTTAAAATACTAAGAAATATGCAAAACTTTAATAAAGGATCCGCTGGGATTTTGATAAATACATTTTTGTGTTACCAAAAGAGTCTATAATCAGATTATGCTATCAGTTTTGGTTGGCATTTTTGTTCGTCCTTTTTGTTTTGACCACCGTGAAAGATAAAATGATAAATATTATTCTGGAAAGAGACGAGGATAGAAAGTAAAGAGTATACTTGGGTGTCCAAATATTGTTCCTTTTTGAGATACGAGGTGTTAAATAAAATAGATTATTATGAATTTAGTATACAGTTTTACCGAGTCATAGAATTCCGAGAAGCCAGTTAGTGGGAGCAGGTCTCATCGACATTCTGTTAAGTATACACGACACGGTGTGCCTGAACAAGTCTCAGGTCACATAAAAATGTCAACCAAAACTGATGGTATTTTTTGAATATGCATCTATTTCTCACTCCAAAATCATATTTTTCAAAATCCTACACCGAAAAAAATATATTCGTTGAGTTAACATTTGCCTAAATGTCATTTTTGAAAATGTTGTTTCAACAAAAAACCTATTGGATTAATCTATATTTTGGTGTCAAAGCAATAGTCAGAGTTTGTCAAAGTTTATTTGTTCATTTGACAATTTAAAATATTGATCTTACATGAACTAATTGTTTGAATTAAAGTTTTTATCCTATTTTGATTTAATAGCTGGAATTGGTTAAATCAAATACTAAAATTGTTGGGATTACCTAAAAAAACTATTAGATTAACGTTTAGTTGCTGTTTAATCCACAACATTAAATTTGTTTATTTAACAAATTGTAAATGTTATTTTAAAATTTAAAATGTTAAATTTGCATTCATAAAGTTGCCTTAACACTCTAAGAATGTTAAATTAACAAAATTAGCAGATTGTTCATTTGACTGTTATTTGTTGTTCAATTAAACAATAAAATTTGACATTTTTAGATGGTTAAGTAAACGTGCAAAAACCATTGCTTGTATTTAAAGTGCATAAAGAGTTGAATTAATATTTTTTTTGTTGTTTCAACAGCTTATTTTTTTCAGTGTAGCTGATCCCCATTTTTAATTTTTTGCAATTTTCTGGATGAAAAAAAACAAGAAACCTGAATATCGGCTTAATTAAATTAGATTTATAACATGATTGGCATTCTATATAATTGGTGGATTCATTTTTAAGTGAGTATTGATCTATTTAATATATTATATTAAATATATTAATACTCACTCAAAAATGGATATCCGTTGGGTGAATAGGGTAAGATCGGAATGAAACTAGAGAATATCTTGTTTAAATTACATTTTAATTTCTGTAGCTATTCAAAATACGGCTGCAAGAAAAAGGTGCAATGGTGCAATTACCTTATTAAAACGCTTACACAGCTTTAAGCAGTTTTTTAAACAAAGTAGGCCATGCCTCAGCGAAAAAACAACTTATATGCAGTAATTTGTTATCAGTTAATAGTATCTATTGGTTATACAGAATTGTTCTCTCGATAATTTTGAAGTTTTTGAAATAAAAATGACTACAAACGCAAGATTTAAATTGAACCATGAAGAAAATAGAGGTATAGTCTGTGCCCAATGCAGTGAAAAGATAATTTTTGGAAAATCCCTGCCCAATACCATGTTTGTAATAACTGCAAGATTGGAAAGAGTGCTTGTTAAATTTAGTAATCCGAAATATAGCCTAAGCAATATCAAGTTTTTAACTGCAATTTGCGGTACATGCAGGCATACTCTTTGCGATTATGAAAAAATATTAAAACACGCAAGATGGTGAAAATGCCAGACTTTGAAAAAGAAAATGTTATTACAAACTCTACTATGAATATCCAAAATGAGGTGCTTGCGTGCAGAATATGCACAACAGCAAGATGCAAAGGAAGGTAACACTAGGAAGGGAAAATACAAAAAACAAGGAAAAAAGGGTCCAGGATACCGAGAATAAAATTATTTTGGGCAAAATCTGTTTCACAAGAGTTGGTAAAGGAAAAAAACATATATGTACGAACGAAAAAAATGTATGCTGAAAACTCAAGAACACGTCGTTTCTTCAGTTCTCAAGACGAGTATTAAAATCTAATAATTCATCATCTTTCCGCAAAAATGTTTCTATTAGTCTAACGAAGATTGTCTACGGAAGATTGTATTAGATTTTTGAACGGTGCTGGGTTGGACACATGGTCTGAGCAGGCTGGGGAGTCGATCCTTCGCGAGTTTATAAAATACTGGAATAAGTATAAAATGGTGAACATTTAAAAAAAAGCTGTAGTAGACTTTAATTCTAACAATTTGTAAATGAAATTAAATTATGAAAAAGCTTTACTTTTTTCTCTAGTCTCTTGTCAAATTAGAAAATTTATTGATTTATAAAAAAAATATATAATAGTGATTTTTTTCGACTCTCTCTTTATATTTTAATTCTTGATTCTTTATTGAAAATTGATAGGTCATACCAATATTTTAGCGGAGTCCGCCTAAAATTGTAAATTTTAGACATCACTTCATCAATTTTTGCAAAAAAATAAAAAAAAAAGGATCAGCTAGGATTTTGAAAAATATGGTTTTGGAGTGAGGAATAGATGCATATTCCAAAAATACAATCCCTTTTGGTTGACATTTTTAAGTGACTCAGTGTTCAGGCACACCGTGACAAGTTGTTTCCTCGATAATATTTTTATGTGTTTTAGCGTTTTTTTTAAAACTAATAGAATTCGAAGAACAAAGGGTGAAAAGTTTTGAAATGAACTCTTTATATAACGACGTGGACGCGTGGCAGGGCATGAATATCCACGCAGCGGGCAATCCATTAGAATCGATCTTTTTAGAAAAGTTAATGGAGTGAAGTTAATTTCATTATCAAGATCTACACGCCTCGTCCGAACTCTACCCGCTATACCTTTGCCCGTCTCCGAGCCATTTATCACGGAGGAGGCTCAGCTGCCGCCACCCTCACCGCTTCATTATAACTTTTGTCAGGAGATCGGGGCAAAGTAATTCTATTAAAGCGACTTTTTGTCGTATAGCAGAGCAAAGCAAAAAGCGATGGCTGCTAAACCGAGCACTAATGATCGATACTTTCTGTACCTTGGTACTATGATCATTATATATTGGAGTTAATGTTTTAATTTTCACTCTTTTATTTTATATGAAGGGGAAATTTTATTGTGTATAAAGTTAAATTAACTATTAATTTAAAAAGTTGCAAAAAGTTGCAAAAGACGCGTCAAATGTTAATTTGCCCAATATTGGGCAAAATAGCATTAAGCCCAAAGGGATGAAGTTAGCCTTAAGTTAAAATTGAAAACAGTAAGGTTAAAACTGCATAACAACAGTTACTGTTATCGATTCCAAATAAAATATCATTGTGTGGTTAAAAAACTGAACACTTGGTCAAAAGACAAAATTCTACTAGCGTGTTACTTAACTTGATACACTCGTGCGGAAAACTCTAATATGCCATAAATAACTAGTCACAACGAATACGGGAGCACTTGCATGGTAATACACCATAATATATATTTGAAGTGAGAAACTTAACTATATTGTAGTTAATTTAGCTAAGTTTCTCACTTGAAATCATTAAAATGACGAAAAATAAATCTATTTTAATGATTTGAAGTGAGAAACTATTCTATAGAATATTGTTTACCTGTGCTACCTTTTACGAATCAAGGTCAAATTGTGTACAACAGCAAGAGAATGCTATGCCGCATGTTGCGGGAATAGTTGAAGAACCAAATTTTAGTGTAATACTGGCCAGCCAATAGTCCCGATTTAAACATCTTTGGAGCATTATAAAAAGCTTTTGCATCGGCCAAAAACAAAATACCCTTCAAGAGGTACAAGGAGAATGGGAAAGCATTCCTCAAAATCTAATAGAACAGCTAATAGAGTCGATGACTAGAAAATGTGCTAAGGTTTTAAGAGCTCGGGAAGGACGCACCCATTGTTAAATTTAATTTTTTGCTAAATTTTCTTAAAATAAAAACTGCAAAATTTGTTTCCTTTTTATTTTGCTCTAAAATTAAGTATTTTTATTCTTTTTTTATTGTGTATATGTTACGGCTAATGTGCAAACTTGGATAGTTTATAAACTAGCTGGATAGTTTATAAACTAGCGAAACTGTCAGCTATTTTAATTGAAAATGTATTTTCAACTAAATTAGCGGCTAGTTTACAAAATAACCAAGGATCTTGGCTAATTTACTTGAAATTATTAGGGAAACTAAAATAGCTGGATAGTTTGTATACTATCCAATTCAATTTGGCTAATATGAAAACCAAAATTTCTAGTAACACAAAATAGCCAAGCTTTAGCTAGTTTGTAAACTAACCAACTAATTCTCTGGCGATTGCCCAATGGGGCGGGGTCGGTTGGGTTGTGTTGTTGAGTTTGGGTTGGTTTGGGTTTTTTTTTCCCTCATTTTTGACCATTTGGACAATGGAACGGGGTCGGTAGGATTGTGTTGTTATGTTTTCTAACAAGGAAGCGTTAAAATTTTGCCTATGATTCATTTTAAAAACGTTAAAATGCACAAAACAAATTCCGTTAAGCCGGCAAAACGAAAAACAATGCCGTAACCTCACTTTTTTTATAAATTAGCCAGAGAATTGGTTGGTTAGTTTACAAACTAGCTAAAGCTTGGCTATTTTGTGTTACTAGAAATTTTGGTTTTCATATTAGCCAAACTGAATTGGATAGTATACAAACTATCCAGCTATTTTAGTTTCCCTAATAATTTCAAGTAAATTAGCCAAGATCCTTGGTTATTTTGTAAACTAGCCGCTAATTTAGTTGAAAATACATTTTCAATTAAAATAGCTGACAGTTTGGCTAGTTTATAAACTATCCAGCTAGTTTATAAACTATCCAAGTTTGCACATTAGCCATAACATATATAACTTAAAACTGAAATATCTCAGTGCATTTTGCGAAAAAATCTTTAAAATAAAAATTAAATGATTCGAGGGGGGAAATCAACCAGTATTAAAATTGGTCCTCATACTCTCCTCCTTATAGGGGGAACAGGGGGTAACTTTAAAATTTCCAATAGAACACCATATTTTTTATTGCAGATTCGGATCATTCGACTAAAAATAAGTAGATTTAAATAAAATATTTTTTCATATTTGTAACAGATGGCGCTGTAATGAAAAAAAATCAATTTTCTTCGATTTCTCTTCTTATACGATACTGAAATATATCACTTTTTTGGTAATAATTATCTTATTAAATAAAATCTTATTTTTTTTAGTACCCACGATATTTAAGTTTCCTTTGGTTTAAGTTTTATACATTATTTTATTCGGTGATAATTATCAAATGCGCACCATGGTCACTTTTTACCTGCCAGCATTAAATCCTTTAAATAAAGAATTATTGTACTATAGTAAAATATATTTTTAATAAAAATACCTCATTTACGGTAAAAAAAAAACATTATTTCGTCAATTAATTAATTTAATCCTAATTAAGGTATAAAAAATGGTTTTTAATCATAAATAAAATAATAATTATTATTGATTTTGCTGTTTTATATTTTTGAGAACTAATCTTAATTTTTTCTAAAAACCTTTCAAAATGTCAGTCTCAGTTTGCCGATTTTTTCTCTAAAAATCAAAATTTATCCCTTGAAAATTGACAATCAATAAGCAGTTTCTCAAAGTAAAAGTGAAAATCCGAAATTACTAATGCTTTATCGGCAAATACTATTTTCCTGCCCAAAAACGTGATTTTTAAGTATTGGCGTCTAATCAAGAATCTATTTAATAATTTGGTATTTTTTTATTAAGATAACAAAATAATTTTCACATTTTAGTATTATTTTACAAGGGCACTTTATTTTAACGATTCTATGACATTTGACAACTCTCAACTAACTTAAAGCTAACTTCAGCCCGTGACTAAAAAGGTTGGAGTGGAAAAAATATTTTTTCTACTCCCACCTTTAAATCGCCCATTATTGTACATGTTTCCATGACACTAAGTAACCTTTTAAATACACATTGACATGATGTGGCTTAATGACGTTTTAGTCACGGGTCAAAGTTATTGACAGTTAACAAATGTCACACAATTATTAAAATAAAGTGCCCTTCTTGTAAAACAATACTAAATATTAACATTATTTTATTATCTTAATACAAAAATATTAAATAGTTTCTCAATATGTGAAAAGTTTATATGTACATTGTTTAATTTAATTTCGGATGGAGGCTCAGAAAACATTTTTTCACTTTTACTGTGAACTGTTGTTAGTCCATTTTCAAGGGATACATTTCGATTTAAATGGTTACTTTATTGTTTTATAGATGTGCCCAATTAAAATTCGTGACTGAAATGGCGTTTATCATACTTGATACATAATATAATATTATAACTTATTATTTTTAAGGAAAACAATAAAAATGTCTATCAAAGAGAAATATTTTCGCACGGTACTTAAATGACTATAAACAAACTATTTTAGTAAACATATCGTACGTATTTATAAAAAAAAATATGTTTAAAAATGCATGTTTCTTGGTATGAAATAATATAAAACCGATTTTTGTAGTAACCGCACAGTTTTACATAACTTTTGCTATCGAAATTTGTGTAAATACAAAACATAATTTATACGCCAACCTTGATTAAATCACGAATAATTTCAAGGTCGAAACCAACAAGGAAGAAATAAAAATGCCGAAAACAGCGCCCATGAAAAAAAAATAACGCATAAATTATTTAAATTATTTTAATATTTTATTATTTTAAATTCTACACTGATTGTGACAATAAACCATGCAAATTTAACACGTGAATATTTGAAATATATTGTTTAGAATTTTAATTTATAGTCGGTAATAAAAGAGTTGGGCTCATGTTTAAATTTATTGTAGCATCAACTTGCCAAGTTTATTTCCATTACCTATTAGGTATGATTTTCCTCATTAAAAGATATGTAAAAGTAAAATAACCGGTAGTTGCATTTTTATTGTAACTGAGAAGAAGGCATTTAAAAAAGTTTAGCACCATTTGTAAATAAGGGCAAATTTAAAAACTAAAAAAGAATTAAATTTTACCATTTATTTTACTGTGACAAAATTTCGTATCATAACAGATTAATGCCTTTATAAATTTATAAAGTAATATGTTTATTCAAGGAGGCATAAAACACTGTTTTTTTTATAAAAATGTAATAATCTTTTGTCGTTTTATCAAAGAGATACACAATAGTAAAAATAATGAGAAAAATGCTATAGAGAGAGAATAAAAAAACGACTTACCTTTATCTCGGTCCCTTTTAAAAAAGTTTTAAAGCTTTGACATTTATTCTGCAACAAGATAAAAAAAAATATTGATTAATTTTATGTTACGGGTATATTTTTAGTTTTAATAAATCAAAGACAATTAGATATTTACATAAATATAGCAATTATTATTGTAAAAATCTTTTAAATTTAGCAAACAATATTTTAAATACAATCCAATAAAAACGCCAATAAAGTCGAATTTCATTTTTTCCAAACCTCGTTCAGCGGTATTTCTTATATTTTATCAAATAACGTTCTTTTAAATTGCCTTGGCCCTAACAATATTATATATATAGATCATATCTATAAATAAATATACACATGAAAGTGGATTTCGCAATTTATTTGTTTTTATTATCAAAGGTTTATTTTCCTTTAGTAACCTTAGGTAACTAATGTGTACTTTAATAAAACAGACAATTTTAGTTCTCTAAGGAAAAAATTTTCAAATATATTTTAAAGCGTTGTATCATAAAGGGTGCATTGATAAAAAGGCAATGAAAAATATAGATTCTGTATTGTATTTTTATGTATTTTTTTTGTGATTTTTTGTAATTTTCAGTAATAGGTAAATTCTTTAAATTTAAAATATATTTTTATTATTAACCAGATTTTTTAAAATACAACATTACTTTGTAATTTTACCAAAAATATTTAGAATTTGGGTACTAATATCACTTTCAATGTGGCTTTACGAAATTATGGCAATTACATCTAAATATTTATTAAGGTAAACAAACATGTTTCATAGGAAATCAAACTTTGAACCAATAAGATTCTTTAATGTGGGGCTTTTACCAATATGCTTTTTCAATGGAAAAACTTTGATGACGTTGATCCAGTTACTGTTAGGAGCTCAAAATTGGACTGAATTATTATTTACATACGTGTATAACAGGAGAAGAACAATATTAAAAATGTCTAAATAAATTAAATAAATTAGTTAACTTAGGTTAAAGGTTATTTATTTTACATCAGACTGGACAAAGCAAATATAGAAAATCTCTGTCAGGGACTAATAAAACCATATATTAAATTTATGAAGAAGTAGTAAGGCTAAATAACTCATACATTTTTAAGCATTCTCCAAACACAAGATACCTATCACAATACTTTTTAATATTTAACAGAATCTAATTTTTATTAACTGCCCATTATTGTTTATGTTGTGATGTCAACGAATAACAATCAATTAACCAATTAATTTTTGTGATAATCAATTGTTGCCAGGGCCCCTGCATGGGGGATCCACTGGGTATTAGGTTTGGGGGGCCCGGGCTCAATCATGAACATTCCTTAACTAAACAGCATATTTACCATCCCCAAATTTAAGTATCAACCTAGATCACACATTAAAAAATATTTGGTTGCCTATCTAAGGTTTCGAAAATTCTCTTAGGGTTCTATGCCAGACGCCACTAGGTCTTGCAGAAGTAAATAAAATTTGATTATGTTGGTATTGTATGGTTATATACTTTTGTATTTTTAATATTTAAAATTGGTATCATAAATGTGTATTTGTTCTACGCAATGTGTGGGGGGTTGTTAGGTAAAGTCAATGTTAATGCTGTTATATCTTTTAAAATAATACTGTATACATCTATCATCTATCATCTATTTATAGATCATAACTTCTAAGTCACCCTGTATATCATATTCCCATTTTCTTAATAATAATTATTTTATTTTTAAAAATTAGTACATAAATCTAAAATAAGGTACACTAATTTGACATTTCTCACAAACTATTGCACCTATTTCCAGGCCCGTTCCTAGGGTGTCTGGCGCCTACGAGGAGCATTCTTGGGTGCGCCCCTTTCATATTTGAATAATAAATTAAATATTTTAATTTTAAGAACTAAAATTTAATATGTAATTGAAAATGTAAACAAAATTTCTGAAATTAAGTATAAAAACATTTATTAAATACGCTAAAGCAGTATCGGGTTTTCGCAACGCGCGCGCCGTCTGGTGGACTTGTCAACAATACATTTAAAGCATACGAACTGTACATCATTTTTAAATAAATAGGTAGTTTTTTCACAAAAGAAAGAAAGGCAGAAGTCTTACTCCACAAATTTTGTTCAATTGCACAGCTAAATCGCGCACGTTATTTGTGTTTTACGTTGCAAGGAAAAAACTAAAAAACTGGTTTAGTACTCGATTTCGATTGATTATTCTTTATATCATTGATTAAGAAACTCAACGCTTAAATGCTTATATAGTTACGTTAGTGTGTGTATCTAAGGGATCATGGTGAATTGTTGTGTTTTTAATTGTAATTAAAATTCAAAAACTAAATCGTTGCATTTTCATGTTTTGCCAAAGGATCCAATTCGGTAAGTACATTTGTTGGTGCAGAATTAACTAGTGATAACTTTACCTTATTTAATTTAAGTTTGGAATTTTTTTAGAAATTAGTAAAAAATAATTTTTGTACAAACATAACCTTAAAATCAACCATTTTTATATTTGAGTTCTCTAAAAAACGCCGACAACTGCATTTTAAACAACAAAATATACCTACGAATTCACGGCAACATAATATTATATGTATATTAGGGTGGAGTGAATTTTTTTTTATTTATTAATTGATTCTTCCTATATTATTAATTGTTGACTAAAGGCGTAAAATGAATAAATATCGAAAAAATATTCCAAATTTTTAATATCTTGAGGTGGCGCATCAGTCTCGAAGTTTTGAAAATTCTAAAAAAATATTACTTCAATCAAAGTAATAAAAATAGCATTATTTAAATAAAAATTTTATTTTAGTAAAATTAACGTGAAACGTATACATATTTAATAGTAAATCATATGCTTTAAGTAACTTCAGGAGTGTTTATTGGTAGAAATGAGATCTTCTTTTTCGCGAAAATACTGACATTTGTTATCAAAATTTGGTAATTATTTTCTGACTTTAATTCTTGTTCTGATGAAACCATCTTTTGCTTCCGATCCACAAACCAAGACTGAAGATTCAGTTTACTGGTTAAACCAGTTTTACACAGCGTTCCACTGCTTGGGTGTGACACGGAAATTAGGAAAAGTATAGGAAATGGTCACCCGAAGAAATCATATCGGTAATTTCTATCATCGTATTTCATAGTCATAGGTGGTTCAGTTACCTTTTCTGTCGCCCAGTGAATTAACTCGTAAAAATGTAATGCTTCAGTATTTAGTTGTGGAAGCTTTAATTCCCGTAATCTCGAACATTTTGATTCTTTTCTCGCCTTTAATATTTTCGGCAATGATCGATAGATATATTGTAGGTAACATAGCAAGTAATAGGTTTTCGGAATAAATATTTCGCTGAATATTCTTTAGAACTATAGTTATAAGGCCTTCAAGTTTTTCTGGAGGTGTAATGCTCTTTTAGTCATATTAAATATGTGAATAGGACGTTTGTACGTAGGCTTGGTGTTGATGTAAAACCACGTTGGTGCATACACTTTCATGATTAGCTATAGCTAACAAAGATCCAGGAAAGCTAGCACATTCCCTACGGCTGACGTGTGCTAATAGGATTATTCGTTTATATGTGGGGACAGCAAATCCAAAAAACCTAAAAGAATTGGCTACTTTTATTTAAAATTTCCACCCAAGCAGTGGAACGCTGTGTAAAACTGGTTATAACCAGTATACTGAATCTTCAGTCTCGGTTTGTGGATCGGAAGCAAAAGATGGTTTCATCAGAACAAAAATTAAAGTCAGAAAATAATTACCAAATTTTGATACCAAATGTCAGTATTTTCGCGAAAAAGAAGATCTCATTTCTACCAATAAACACTCCTGAAGTTACTTAAAGCATATATGATTTACTATTAAATATGTTTACGTTTCACGTTAATTTTACTAAAATAAACTTTTTATTTATAAATAATGCTATTTTTATTACTTTGATTGAAATATTTTTTTAGAATTTTCAAAACTTCGAGACTGATGCGCCACCTCAAGATATTAAAAATTGGAATATTTTTTCGATATTTATTAATTTTACGCCTTTGGTCAACAATTAATAATATAGGAAAAATCAATTAATAGATAAAAAAAATTCACTCCACCGTAATGTATATAATACATAATATAATGGTATTTAACCGTTGAGTGGAGACTTTAAAGAATTCTTAATCAGCGCTTTTAATAATGCTAAATGCTGTTTAAATTTAGACGACTTATTTGTTTGTCGATTATTACTGAATTGAAATGTTTACACTTTTCACGTTAATCATTACTAAAATGTGTATTTATTGTATCAAATAGATACAATTTATATTTACAGAGACTGTATGGAATTTATTTTTTTATTCGTATTAACACTGTTTATTGGAAAACCGATAAAAACTCAACCCAGGATTTCTAAATTTCTAAATACACCAAACAACACAACAAATCGTGCCACGGTTTTTTTTCGATATTTTTTAAAATTTTGCGGCTTTATTCTACTTTTGTTAGGATGATAACATCCGAGTGGTGGCGCTACTAGCGAAACTTCTTTAGCGTGTAGCGGCCGACGCAAAGAAAGACGGTAACCTTTATTCTATGTATCTTTAAGTATTTGTTTATTTGCAAGAAATTTATCGTTACAAAGTACTGAATGGCCCTTTGATTTTGCGCCCCCGAAATGTTTCGCCTGCGTGCATGCTCGCACTGCATGCTCGCCAGGAACGGGCCTGTCTACACAGAGAAAAGTAATCTCTTGATTTTACTACATGACTCAAATAAATTATTTATTTCGATATGACACAAGAAAATATTTATTTAGTGGAAAACTTGGGTTTATTTGAATTTTTAAACTGATGGTTTGTTTAATACAAGTAAATATTTAGTTGACTTTTTATCTCAGGTTTAGTAGAATCTTACTTAAAGAAACAAAACATTTACTTGAAGTAAGTAATTCATTTTTTTAAATTAAATGTGAAGCTTTCTTAAAGAAACAAAATATTTACTTACATGAAGAAAACAATTTATTTCAGACAAATAATTAGTACCTTTTAATATTATATAATTATAATTATAAT